TATATAACTTTAAAAGGCTTTAAGCAGGGGAAAAACAACACCATATTTTCTCTTGGAAACTCATTCAGGTCACAGTGTAGTTTGAAGAGCTACTAGGCTGCGCAGTGATTTTCAGCTGGTGTGCCATGGCACACTGGTGTGCTGGAGGAACTTTTAAACATGCAACACATGACTATTTAGTCAGGGCATTGACCTCAACTTAGATTGTCAAATTTAAAAAGTGGCCCAGCCAATATGGTTGAGCATCAACCTATAAACCAGGAGGTCACTGGTTCAATTCCTGGTCAGATCACATGCTTAGGTTGTGGGCTTGATTCCCAATAGGAGGGCATGCAGGAGGCAGCCGATCAATGATTCTCTCTCATCATTGATGTTTCTATCTCCTTCTCTGAAATCAATAAAAAATTATGTATTTTCTTTTTTTTGTTCAATATATTTTTACTGATTTCAGAGAGGGGGAGGGAAAGAGAGATAGAAACATCAATGATGAGAGAAACTCATTGATCGGCTGCCTCCTGCACACCCCTACCAGGGACCGAGCCTGCAATCCAGGCATGTGCCCTTGACAGGAATCGAACCTGGGACCCTTTAGTCTGCAGGCCAATGCTCTATCCACTGAACAAAACCGGCTAGGGCTAAAATATGTATTTTTAAAAAACACAAAAAAATCAACAATTATCCTGGCCAGTGTTTCTCATCGGCCCTCAAACTGAAAGGTCGCAGGTTTGATTTGTGGTCAAGGACACAATCTGGATTCAGGTTTGATTCCCAGCCCTAGTAAGGCAGTGTGCAGGAGGCAATGAATCAATGTGTCTCACATTGATCTTTCTCTCTCTCCCCCCTACCTCCCTCCAGTCCACTCTCTAAAAAAACAATAGAAAAAATATCCTTGAGTGAGGATTAGCAAAAACAAAAAAAGACAACAACCAACAGAATAGCTGTCTGGTGTGAATGAATCAAAATTACACTTTTTTTTTTGTCAGATCAGCAAGGAATTTATTTTTTTGGTGTGCTGCAGAATTTTAGTAATTATGTGTCATGAGATGAAAAAGATTGAAAATCACTAGGCCAAGGCAATTGTCCAGTAGCCGTGGGGATGGAGGGATGTTGAGATTGGGCTGAGGGGATGGGGGGAGGGAGAGTGTGGAGCTGCAGATGACCCCCAGTGTCCTGGCTTGTGTGACTGAGTCAGCTCGAGGTGATGCTAATGACATAGGGAGCACAGGAAGAGGCAAGCTGATGGATAAGCTAAGTTTGAGAAAACTTCTGAGTTGAGACAGAGTTCTAGAATATAGTTCTAGATTCTGGTTTGAAGTTCAGGAGAGATATATGGGTGGGAGGGAAAGATTGGCAAATCTTGGGCAACAAGGTGGCCTGGAGAGCTTGAGGTCAAGCAGATTGAAAAGAGGGTCCAGAAATTGATGAACAAAAAAAAAATCCAGACAGAGAAGCATCGATCAGACCGTCAAACCTCAGAGGGAAGGAGTAAGGGGGAGAGATCAACCCAAGGATTTGTATGCAGGCATATAAGCCTAACCAATGGACACAGACACCAGGGGGTTGAAGGCATGAGCTGGAGGTGGTGGGGGACAATCCGGGGGATATGGACACATATATAACACCTTAATCAATAAAGAAAAAAGAAAAAAGAGGGTCCAGGACTGAACCTAGGTGTCCTGACATTTCAGTGGAAGCAAAGAAAGGGGCCAGCAGTGTCATGGCCCCAAGAAGGGTGCTCTTGGCCCAGGGTGCAGAGGCCTGAATCTGTAGCATTGCAGATTATGTGGTCACTGAGCAGTAAATGAGTGAGGGCAGGCACCTAGAGTACATGGGACAGAAGCAGCAATTTCCTAACATTTTTTTCAAGGAGCTTAACTTCAAAAGGAATAATGGTAGTAGTTAAAAGGAGAGGCTGGTCAAAACTTTTTTGGGTTAAGGTGGTTTCTAATAAAATGAACACAAGCCTGTTTAGGACTTATAGGTGAGAGGCATAGGGCTCAGATGACAGAATTGGATCAAAAGCCAAAATGGAAAGCTTGGCCTTGAAAAAAGGGACCTGCTTTCCTCTGGGTGAGGTAAGGAGGTAGAAGGGAGATGTGGGAAGGCTGTAGAAACTTAAGAATTTATTTATTTTATTTTGTGTTTTTTTTTAAATATGGAACGCTTCACGAATTTGCGTGTCATCCTTGCGCAGGGGCCATGCTAATCTTCTCTGTATCGTTCCAATTTTAGTATATGTAGTGCAAAAGCAAGCACGAAACTTAAGAATTTAAAGGTCTTGATTTGCTCGGTCTAGGAGGCAAGGACAAATGTAGAGACATGGTAAGACTGGTTTGTGCCACCTGCATGGAAATGCATGGATATCTGACTAGTTCCCCAGGGGCTTCTGCACCAGGCTGGGCCAGTGTGAGGAGCAGGCTCCTGGGGACGGGTGACAGGGAAACAAGGGCTTGACTCAGGATGGGGTGGGGGGTGGGGGTAGGGTTTGTTCCCAGGCTCTGGACTAAGCTTTTGGCAGCCTCACCTGGAACTCCCCTTGAGGCAGGTAGCCCAGCCTTGGAAGAATGGTGTGAGCATCTGGATAGAAAAAGACATGGGGGATGGGGCAACCCTGTGACACAGCCCAAGAAGGCTTAGCTTCCTGGGCCTCACACCCTCAGCTCTGCCTTTGACCCAACGAAAGAAACACAATCTCAGAACAGACAAGCTCTTCAACCAGGTTTATTAATAAAACAAAGAACATATTTTTCCCTTAAACTCCACATTCTTAGTTTTTCAGGAAGAAGTTTGCAGCAATGACATCAACTCACCATCATCTGGCTACTCCTGATTCTACAGGACTAAAACAATTCTCAGGAGTCCTGCCCACCAGCCAGTGAGGACAAGAATTCTTCAGGTGTGGTCCAGCTCAAGGACATCTGGCCCACCCTGACAAAGGGGCTTGCTTGTAAGATCTGACAAAGCACAAAGCGTTGAACAGGTAGTCTGGGACTCCCAGGCATTGTAAAGAGCTTCATTAGCGCCGTTCAGGTAACTGAACCAAGCATATCTTCCCTGACACTCTGCTATTCACTAGCCTCTACTTCCACAAACCTGTAAATGTGCAAAGGTTCAAAACATGGGGGGTGGAGCAAAGTGTGGTTGGGCAGCCTTTGAAAGCACACCTTTTACCAGCATTGAGAAGAGCAATGGTGGGAGTGGGGTTCCCTGAAAGCACGAAGATGATCTTTCTCTGCCCCCTAGCTCAACTCCTAGCACCTGCCTCAGGCAGTGTCCTCCTGTGACAGGGCACTAAGGAAGCTGAAGGTTAACACTGCTATCAACCCCTGCCCCTTCTGAACCGTGAGAAAAGCTTCCTAGAACTTTACATGTGTAGCTGCAAAATGCTAGTGGGACTAGGACGGCTTAACTTAGATGTTTTTGTTCTAGAGCTGAATAGACTGTGAACTTTAGTTTGTAAGAAACAGGTGTGCATGACAAGAGGGGTCACCTCCTGCCATGGGCCCCTTCCCCGCCGAGCCTCAGGTTCTGTAGAGGCTGGGACCTGTGGTACCTGGTGCCACACCCCCAAGTGCACCCTTTGCCCTACACAGCCAGCACTCCATCAGCCTTGTTTTTAACCAAATACCTCAACAGCAGAACACAGAAATATAAAATACAGCTTCTAAGGAGTAAACGCCTATGGTCCAAAGCCAACTAAGGCTTTCCCACTCTCCTTCTAAACCCAACTCTACTGCCTGAGTGTCCAGCTTCTTCCTCACAGATAGAACTGTCCCAAATCCAAATTCTCTCCTGGACCATCTACAGAATCTAAGAAAACCCAAGCCTTTTTACATAGATGGAACCAAGCCACCAACAGAAGGCAACTCAGGAGAGAGCCTGAGGCAGCTCTGGCTGCGGATGCCAGTTTCTTTTTTTTAAATATACTTTTATTGACTTCAGAGAGGGAGAGGTAGAGATAGAAACATCAATGATGAGAATCATTGATCGGCTGCCTCCTACACGCCCCACACTGGGGATTCAACACGCAACCCAGGCATGTGCCTCGACCAGGAATCAAACCGTGACCTCCTTGTTCATAGGTCGATGCTTAATCACTGAGCCACACGGGCTGATGCGTTTCTGTTGGGGCTGGCACAGGGCAGCCACACATCCCCCAGCAACAGTAGAGATGCTCTCACCCACAATCCCTAGCCCTATAGCCTCCTCCGGCTGGGCTAGGGATTCTCCCTCTCAAGTCTGTAGCCCAACTGGAAGCTGGCCAGGACACTGCAGGAAGTAGGGAGGAGACGATGGTGGGTCACTGACTACAGCCAGGACACCGGCCAGGCGAACCCTATTTCCTACAGCTGCCACCACACAAACACTCAAGGGCAGACCTCACGTGCAGCAACAGCACATGCACAGGTAGCAAGGCCAGGGAAGGGGACCCCAAGTGTCTGTTCCATAGGAAGAAGAGGCTATGTACAGGGGGAAGGAAGTCTGGCTAGGTGCACCCCAGTTTCATCTCATTCAACCAGGAGATCAAACTGCTCAGCAGCTTCAAACTCAGCATTCATGGCTGCAGCCCACTCATCCAGCTCCGATTTCTGGGGGAAGAGAAATGGGAGGCAGGTGAGTGGGGAAGAGGACATGTTGTCTGGAGCATGTCTACCCACACCCTGCACGCAGGTGCTGTCTTTCCCCAAAAACAACCAGAGCTGAGCCCCAGCCCAGCATGTGCCCCGGCATCTCCCAGTTTGTCTGCATGACAGCAGAGGAAGGCCCCTGCCCCTCACTCACCAGGATCTCCGGCACCTTCTTCTTCTTCTTTTTCTCTTTCACGGGTGGGGAAATTCCGGGGAGAGTCGTGTCCGGGACCCAAGGATTCCCAGGGACCCTGGGGACCTCGGTTAACTTTGAACACACCAAGGGTGAGACTCCGGCCAGGTCTTCTGTCCCCAGCAGCCTCTCGAAGCCAAAGCAGGATGGGCGGCCTGGGGTGGAGGTGGAGGCACAGTGAAGGGGGTCCAGCCGGCTGTAGGACCGCCTGACTTTCTTGGACATTTCCAAGTCTCTGGTGTCCAGGTCTCCTTCACTGGAGTTTGACTCATCTGGGCTTTGCACAGGAGTGGCAGGGACGCTGCACTGCTTGAAGAGGTCCTCCTTAGTAGGCTCTTTGGTAGGAGGATTGTTTTCTTTTTCCAAGGAAAAAGCAATCTACCGGGACAGAGAGAGAATGCCTCCCTGTTACTCAGACATATTGCTTCCAGGAGGCCCGAGGAGATTTAGGGTGGAAGGAAAGAGCCACTGGACATACACTTTTAAAAGGAAAAGAGGAGACGGGTCAGGAGAGAAATCAGACCAAGATAGATGTGGGGAAGGGGAGAAAAGAACAGCCGGTCATTGCTTCTGAGGAGTGTGGTTTTGTGACTCAAAAAGACTTGCCACCACCTACTGGCGCTGCCAGCTCTGTCCCCAAAATGTGACCGGGGAATAAAACATAGAAAACCCGTCTCCATGGAGCATTCTAGTGGAGAAAAATAGATA